GCTCTGGAAGCAATCGCTTTTTTCTTTTTTTTTCCTTTCTTTTTTTTGAAGCGAGTGGTTGAAGCAAATGGAGCATAAAAGACCCCTGGTGGCTGAAGAATAAAATCCATGTATAAGCCGCACTGGTCTATAAGCCGCATGGTTCAAAGTTCAGGAAAAAAGTCGTGGCTTATAGTCCGAAAAATACAGTAGATATCAAAAGCCTTTATGTCCAATGTTTTCAGCTGCGTTTTTTTTTTCACAGAATAAATTATTTTTTGCTGTGACTTCCACATTTATCACTGAATTTATCGCGCGATCTCCTTCCTGCTCATCTGTTGGACCGGAGCGGAGCGGAAGTGGTGTAAACTGGACTTGAAATGCACAGCTTCAACCCGCGCAGCGCAGCTGTAACGCATGTAATTAGGGGTTACTGTTAGTCAAAAGCAAAATGGGAAGATTGTATGAGCTGCACTCCTTGTCAGTTCAGTATATTGAACTGAATCCATTGTTTTTCTTTTACTTGACCTGAAGGGAAATCACAATTATTGCATTTATCCCTGCTGTTTGGGTTGTGATGATGATGATGATAGAGCTTTACTCTTTTTGTTGTCTGTTCTTCACAGCCACATGTGAAATGTGTGGGATGGTTGGAGTACGAGACGCTTTTTACTCCAAAACCAAACGTTTCTGCAGCGTGTCTTGTTCCAGGAGTTACTCGTCTAATTCTAAAAAAGCTAGCATTTTGGCACGACTACAGGTGACTATATTCAGGTTTTCAGTTTGCCTCATGCTAATATTTAACTTTAATCGTGCCTGTTCTGATTTTTATAAGGGCAAACCTCCTACAAAAAAGGCTAAAGTCTTACAGAAACAGCCTCTCATGGCAAAATTGGCAGCTTACGCCCAGTACCAAGCAAGTCAGCAGAACCAGGCCAAGTCGAAAGCTGGTAAGTCATCCAAAAGCTGTTGTGATATTTGATGTGTTAACATGTTCAGAGTGATGACCTCCACTCCACCTGTGGGTCCTGTTAGCGGTCCCTGCAGAGACCTTCGACTGGGGGAAGTATATCTGTAGCAATAACACGGTGGGAGCTCCTGTCAGCTGCTTTAAACATGTAAGTAAAACCTGAATCAGGTGAGTCGTGATTTCGTCCTCTTCTGGATAAATTCATTTTCTTTCCCCTGTGCATCAGGCCCCTATGGGGACCTGCTGGGGGGACATAGAAGAAGGAGTGAGGATTGAAGTGCCCAACTCTGACACTAACCTCTCTACAAAGGTGTACTGGATTGCAGAAATTATAAAGCTAGCAGGTGGGTCTGTCAGGAAAAATAAAGATCAACTAGTGCTGTTACAAGATCATTGTGGTGAAATTAGTGTCTTAATCAAGCTGCAGCCCGACTTTGGCCAAGGTTTAAAGTGCGGCAGCAGTTCAGATTGAAACGTCAGGGTCACATCACTGAAGCTTTGCTGTGAGAGCAAATCAGTTTTAAAAACTGAAAGAGGAAGAAATTTATGCACCGTCAGTCAGACAGAAGTCTGTTAACTTTGTGCCAAAACTTCAGTGTACCTAAAAAGCATTTTTCAGTACGTTTATTCTTTAAAAGCTTGTCAGAATGTAGTTTTACTCTGCTGAACCCAGTTTCTCTTTTCTCGTTACACCCCCTAAAATCAGCTTGTAGGCACATTTTGCAGGTGGTGTTTGGGCTGGTTTTAGACTTGGGTGGACCCTGAGGGAGCTGCAGCCCACTGTGGGTTTGACAGGAAGAAACAACAATCAAAAGATATTTTTATTTTTTTAACGTTTAGCTTAGATTTGTTTTCCGTTGACCCTTATGACCCCTTATGACAACACGGTGATGATGAGTCCTGAGACTGGGTTCCGTAATTATCAAACTCCTTAGAATTACTCTTAAGAACGCTGTTAAGAAGTGTGAAATAATTCTTAGTTAAAAGCTGAGCCTTAAAGTCAGTTATCAAGGGTCTCAGTCTTTCTGAGTGAAGCTGACCCCTCCCAAAAAATAAACCACAGAAAGATAAAAGGCAAATTAGATGAGTGGTTAGTGCATCGTTTGTGCACTTGAAATTGTCGTCTGTGCTGCTATGTTTTTTCTTTTGTATATATTAAAGATTATTTGTAAGGGTCATTCAGGGGTCACCATCGCTCCAAAATGAACCAAACTTGTCGAACTTCGTAGTGCTTTGTTTGAGCAGGTTTGTGTCGTTGAAACAATTGTTTGCGCTGCCACAATTTATTAAATATTACACGTTACAATTTCGGCCAAGTCACGTGATCGTCCGAAATTATAACAATTGTTTCAACGACACATACCTGCTCAAACAAAGCACTACGAAGTTCGACAAGTTTGGTTCATTTTTGGTTCATTTTGGAGCGAAGGTGACCCCTGAATGACGCTTATAAATAATCTTTAATATATAAAAAAAACATAGCAGCACAAACGACAATTTCAAGTGCACAAACGAAGCACTAACCACTCAGAATATTTGCATTTATTGTTCTGTGGTTCATTTTTTGGGAGGGGTCAGCTTCACTCAGCTTCTCAGACTTACTTTAAGTGAAGTGTAGGAGTAAATCTTGTGTCTTAGAGCTGATTTGCGACACCTGGCTCTGCAGCAAAGCTGATCCTGGATGACGTAGTTAGAAACACCCCCCCCCCCAGCATGGACCAATCACTGCCTCGGATTTCATCTTCAAGAATATTCTGAGAAATGTCAAGATAAAACTGTGAAAATCCTAAAATAAGTTCACTTTCAACACACTAATGTTCGTCCGTCTCACTTACCAATTGTCTGTAAATTACATCAAATATCCTCATCATGAAAACAGACATTAAGAAAATCTCAGATTTTTTTTCGAAAGCTCAGCTTTAAATGTTTTTTACATCTAAGAGCCCAAGGAAATGCTGAGCTTGCACCCTCCTCTTCCTCCTCTCCACTAAACTGTCGGGCTGAAACTCCCCCAGACCCACGACAAACTTGTCAAGACTTTACCTGTAGCTCCCAAAAATAACAGGAAACTTAAACGCACCATCTGTGTTTTAACAAAACACCCCAAAAAACCTGTAGCTGTCCCAACAACTCATGAGAAAAACTCTGAACTGTCTGCTTTTCTCCCCCGCAGCACTCTGACTGTCCCCTCCTCACACACACACACACACATAGACACGTTTGTTCTTCTATCCTCATGGGGACTTTGCATTGACTTTCATTCATTTACCAGTATTTTCTATCACCATTTGACCCTAAACCTAGCCTACACTTTACATGGGATGTGAACTGGGCTTATGTCCCCATAAGAAACAGTGGGTCCTCACCAGGCTGTGTAGTTTGCTTCATCTCTAAAGAGATGCTGATCTTTAATATTGTTTATTTACTGTTTCAGTTGTGTGGCGTTTAATTTACATTTTGTTGTTCTTTGTTTTTTTTTTTTTTATTCAAGTGCATTTTTTTGTTAGACTGAGAGTCCACTTTGTTAAACATTCTTTAAAAATTAAAGTTTATTGATTAATTACACTTACATATTATGCTTTTATAATTATTAGTTGTAAAATGGTCACCAGGCAATATTATCGTTTATCGCAATAATTTTTGAGACAATTAATCGCCCAGCAAAATTTGTTATCGTGACAGGCCTAGTTCCATCCCACTGTTACGGGGATCTTCTGCATTCACTCACCAGCTGTTAGTTTAATATTTTCTCCAAAAGCCACACAGAAATGTCTGCCTTTTTGTCCAACGTTATGACACTGGTAATAGTTTATTTTTTTTTACCCTTCTGTCTTCTGTATTTCATGATAAAACCTGTTTTCCTCACCTTATTTTAGTTCCTCTGTTCATTATAACTGTGAATAACACACAGGTGGGGAGGAGGATAGCTGTGTTCTCTGTCTTCTCAGTCCATCTCAGACCCCTAATGGTAACTCTTAAGAGACCTCTGGAGCAGTCTTCCATATCTGGGAGATTAAGAGTGATTCTTAGACTGAACAACTTTGACAACTGGTGTTTACACTTGAGTGTAAAACTCCACTCTAAGACGTTTGATAAATACGGGTCCTGATCTCTCAGACTTTATATGACCAAGTGTGAACACTGGTGCATAAAGCTGCACTTTGATCAGGTCAGCAGAGTTGTAAAGTAACTAAGTACAAATACTTCTTTACTGTACTTAAGTAGAATTTTTGGGTATCTGTGCTTTACTTGAGTAATTATTTTCAGCCTACTTTTTACTTCTTACTCCTTACATTTTTTAAAAGGCAAGAAGTAGAAAGTCGTTATTTTTATTTCATTTTTGCTTGTTTTCATTCCAGATTGTTGTTGTAAAAAATAAATACTATCCATATAAGTTGTATCTCCTAGTGAGTTTAATTGTGGTTAAATCAGAAGTACAAATATATAAAACTCTGATACCGTATTAGTTTGTACACAAACAAATCATGTCACACTCCAGCAGGACATAATCATTAAAATAAAAGGACTGTACTTAAGAAGTATATGTATTTCATGAATTATATTATTACATTTGGCCGCAGCCCTCAGATAGATTTTCATTTTGTGGAAAAGGTTTGTGCAGCCTTGATATATGTTTATAAACTGAAACAGACTAGTGCATCCTAAATTTAGCATAAATAAATTATTTTAATACAACAATCATTTCTGCATTTTTTGGGGAGGTCACCTCTTAATAAATGTCCTTACAGAAAAACTAACTGCTCATTTTATATCAGTACTTTTACTTTTAGTACTTAAGTACAAAAATATTAGACACTTTAAGACTTTTACTCAAGTAGACTTTAACTTTTACCAAAGTAAGTTTTTGATAAGATACTTCTCCTTTTACCCAAGTATCACTTTGTGGTACTTTATAAAACACTCCAGGTCAGTCCTGGTAGTTCCAGCACTGAGGTGGTGTTTCCTGTCCCTCTGCAGGGTTCAAGGCACTCCTCCGGTACGAGGGCTTTGACAACGACAGCAGTAAAGACTTCTGGTGTAATTTGTGTGTCCCTGAGGTGCACCCAGTGGGCTGGTGCGCTTCAAGCAACAAACCCCTTGTACCTCCAAAAAGTAGGTGTTTAAACTTCCTGAAACTTGGGTTGTTAATCTGCTGATTGTCCTGAACGCTGACAGTGTTGTCCTGATGGTGATGTGTCTCTCAGGTATACAACATAAGTACTCAAACTGGAAAGCTTTTCTTGTGAAGCGTCTCACTGGAGCAAAAACACTGCCCCCTGACTTTAATGCCAAGGTGAGCCTCAGCAGGTGGATCTAAACTCTAACATTGAATTTGATTTGTTTCTAAACTCAACAACTTTCTCTCTCGTTGAACTCCAGGTTTATGAGAACATGCAGTTTCCATTTAAGAAACTGATGCGGGTAGAGGTGGTGGATAAAAACTACTTGTGCCGGACACGGGTGGCGCTGGTGGAGCAGGTGATCGGAGGTCGCCTCAGGCTGGTCTATGAGGAGAGCCAGGACGGATTGGATGACTTCTGGTGCCACATGTACAGCCCCCTCATCCATAATATAGGCTGGTCACGAAGCATTGGACACCGCTTCAAACGATCAGGTAAAGAACTTTCCTGTCTTTAAAACGGAGCATAAAGACCTCAGTCTGTCTTCTTTTCCTCCCAAACATTTGCTCCTTTGTTCTTTTCCTTCTTGTTGCACTGCTCATTATGTAATCATGTAAATGTCCCTGTGACGGGATGAACGCCAAGCAGTCAGCAACATAACTGCGTAGAATAAATAAACCATTTAATGTTTTTTGCTCTGAGGATTTTATTAATTTATTTAGAGTATTTGTGGAACTCAATGAATTAGTCTTAAAGTCCCTGTGACATGCATAGTCTTCAAATATGAAAAGTCAAAGAGAACATTTATATTTAAGAAACTTGGCATAAAACACACAATTTTAACCATTTTTTCACATAACTGACAGATTTTCTTTTGAACTTGGCTCAGCCAAAGTGAAACAGGAAGTGACATCAAAGGGGAACCCTTTAAGAATGAAAACTCTGATCTTTGTTAAAACAATAATATTTGAACTCCGACTCTTCATCTCTCTGATAGACTCAAAATAAAAAGAAACAACAGATTGTTCTCTACTGTCTGTGTTGTTAGCTGTTGTAGCACTGCTCAGTTCACATGCACCCTTTGACATCACTTCCTGTTACTTCACGTGAACATCTCAACAACTTGTTCATCTCAGTGGTATTTTTTAATTTTCTTTGCAATATGTTATTAATGTTATCTCTCCAAAAATTAATTTAGTTCATTACAAAAATAAGATGTCACAGACACTTTGAAATGTGTGTTTTAGGTTATGAAAGTATTTATTTTAGAAATTCTTTAATACTACTAGGGATGCACGATAACTCATTTTAAGAACCGATACCGATAACCGATAACTTTCTCGTTCTAACAGCCGATAACCGACGGACTCTGTGCTGCATTCAGGAGGTAACGGACATTACATGGTCTCAAATTGGGAGTAGTTGTTCCGGTGTTTATAATTACAAAGTTTGTGTGTAACATACAGGGCTAATTGGTAAAATAATATTAATAATTCTTAAAATGACTGGTTGTTTCTCAGCACAGAGTATTCTAATTATTTTTCTAGAGAGAAAGTTGTTTCTTGTCCGACGCAACTTGAACGTTGCTCGGGTCGTGCCGGACAGGAAGCGACTTCACCAAAACAGATAAAAATAAACACACATTCTCATTGCTGCGCTGACAAACATGTACATATATTATCGGTTCTGTTTGTTATGATATCGGACCAATAAGTATGACATCATAATTCCCTGATATCGGGCCGATAACTATCGTGCACCCCTAAATACTACATTTTGACAGAGTATTAGGACCACACAATGAGATTTTTAAAATTTTTCTTTTAAATTACAAGAATAAAGTCATAATATGATGATATTAAAGTCATAACATTATGAGATTAAAGTCATATTATGAGAATAAAGTCATAATATCCTAAAATTAAAGTGGTAATACTATACCCTTTACACGAAAAAGCATGCAGTTACCACTGTGTTTAAAATGAGGAATGTTGAGCAACTTGTCAAGTTGTTCTTTATTATTGCTTAAAATAAATAGTTAATCTTTTAGCACGTTGGCATCAAATTATCAGTTGCAGGACTTGGAAATTGTGCAAATGACTGTATGACAAACAGAAGCTGTGTTTTAATCAATGGATGCACTGACAGATTTAGTCGTCACATAGTTAATTTGGATGAAAGCATAATAATCTAACAGTGACCCAGGTCATCACAGACTACTTTATAAACACAGACACATGGCTGTACAGCAGGTGTGGGAAAATAAGGAGGAAATGAGGAACGGAAAATGGACACGTTTGATTTTATCTTTTTTTCTCGTAATATTATGACTTTATTCTCATAATAATAATAAAAAAATCTTGTTGTGTGGCTCTAATACTCCGTTAGAGCTGGGCGATATGATCAAAAATTTATATCACTGTATTTTCAACATTTTCACCGGTTTCGCTGTATTTGACGGTATTTTTCTTTTCATCACAGCTCAACTGATAATAAAATGTACAAACCCTGCTTATTGAGGTTTTTTTTTCTTTTACTGTACCTCTGTCTGTGTCGTTGTTTCCCTCCTCTGTGTCTGTTCTTCTCTGACTGGTGGTTGGAGACAGTAGTCATGCATTTTGGTCCAGTCGTGAAGGAGGAGGRTTAAGAAAAGGTTATGATCGGGTTTATTGTTTTATGTTATTTATTAAAGCTTATCAGCACGACTCWSCTTGCACACCAGTCAATTCTAACTCCACTAAACTACTTCCTGCAGGCTTTTCACAATAGAACCACGTTAAGTCTCCATCAGCATAACGTCTCCATATTAACTAAACGCGTTAAATCTAACTGTGCACGTCACTGAAGAGGTGTTTACTACATTCAGCAACGGCGAAAACGGGATGTTTTTTTAAAGGTCAGTCAATATAAGCAGCAGAATCGCCACCGGCGGCTGCAACTAGCTGCTCCAAACATTAGCATGCTAACACTCATAGCGGTGCAGTAAGGAAAAATGTCCCCCAGGAAACAACAGTTCACTGGCGGCCGCGACGAAACGTTCCGCTATTTAAACCGGAATGTCCGGTATACAAAAAATTCATATCGTAACAAAAATAAAAACCGGTAACTGTATACCGCCCAGCACTATACTCCTTCGTAGTACATAACTTGAAAGAAAAGAGCAAACGTGTTATTTTAAAACACAAGAGTTTTAATAAATATATTCTAAGTCTTGTGTGTCCAGATCTGGTCCTGGAGGGCCGCTATTCTGCAGGTTTTACAGGTTTCTCTGCTCTAACACACCTGATCCGAATGAATGGATGATGGAATGAATGGATGATGAACAGGCTTCTGCAGAACTTGAAGAGGTAATTCAGTCACTGACTCAGTGTGTGGAAGCAGAGAAACAGGTACAACATGCAGGACAGTGGCCCTCCAGGACTGAAGACCTCTGGTCAAGAGGTCCAGGGATTTGTTACACAACCAGGATATTAGGGTGTTTAAAAAGTCTCTCTTTAATGTAGTTGTTTGTTTGTTTGTTTGTTTATCCAGATGTCACAAAGAAAACTGATGGTCAAGTCGATGCTCCAGCACAGTACTTTCAGAAGGTAATGCAAACTGAAGTCAGTGTTTTTATACTTTTCAAAATGATGTTGAAAGAAGAAAACCAGTTCTGCACTGCAGGGTTGAGTCAATGTTTTTCTTTTTCTAATAAGTCATCCATCCAGAGTGCTGATTTAATGAGTCTTAAGGTCAAACCTGTCCACAAAAACCCAAACATCCATCTGGAAGTTCAGGTCAAAGCCTAAATCATTACGTGGACACCAGAGGACAGTCAGACAGACTTTTTGTCTTCAGGGGTCTTTCCATGAAGAAGCTCTTCACAACAGTTCATGAGGCTTTGAACAAACAGGTGTGGAGACGAAAACAAGTTAGTCTTTTGTGGGAAAAAGTAAGACATCAAAGTCGCAACAGTATAAGGAGAAAAAGCAGCACGATAAACTTTAAAAACAAGTTGTTTTAAGGTCCTAGCAATCCCTGAAGGAAGGCCTGTCACCTGCTGCCTACATCCCAGAGTTTTAAACAAAGATCTTTTATGATTGGAAATGGAGTTTTTGCTCTTTTGATCAAATAAATATGTGTGATCTGATATAACAGTCAGTAGCTGCATTTCCATTGCAAATGTGCACAAAACTTTGTTGATATTCTGTTAATGTCGAAAAACAGTTTCACAGTTGCAATGTTTCCATTAAGTAAGAAATACTATTAAAGTCACACGTGAATACGTTCGCGATAAGTCATTACATGTTTGTAATGACTTATCGCATTATGCAAACACAATTGCTACCACGACACTAGCGCTCATCATCAGAAGACGTCGGCGTCTTTTATCGAGGCTTTCCAGCGACAAGCCCCTACGGGAGCGGCTACGTATGCTGTGTTTTTGGGAATTGTAGCTGGTGAGTTTACTATTTTAAACTACTTCTGTGATATTACTACTACTTCTACTTCCTGTTATCTTCTTCGTCGTCGTCTTTTTCACCAGTAGAAACAGCCGGTTGTTGATCACATGACTCCAGTGATGTGAAAAAAGTGTTTCCATTGCAGTTTTGAAAAAAACACCAATTTCGATACGGCCGAAAAACCACCTCATCCTAGCGCAAAAATTTTTTGTTGAAAAACGTAATTTCTTTTGAAATTGACGTGTTTCCATTGAGCAAATTTATTTTCGAAATTCTAATTTGCACATTTTCATGGTCAATGGAAACGCAGCTAGTGTGACTCCACTATCACCACATCATATTTGTAGCTTTATGTTTGTAAAACAGATATTAGTGTTTTTAATCACACATTTGATAAATCCTGTGTTCCAGGTTAAAGACGTGGACCAGAGCAGGGACTGGTTCAAAGATGGGATGAAGTTGGAAGCCATCGACCCGCTCAACCTCTCAGCCATCTGCGTGGCCACCGTCAAAAAGGTCCGCTGCTCCACCAGGAAAGGCTGAGCAGTGCGGCGTTCAATCTCGTCTCACACAGCTGGGTTCTGTCCCGTCACAGGTGTTGGCAGACGGGTTCCTAATGATCGGAATCGACGGCTCTGAGGCTGTGGACGGCTCAGACTGGTTCTGCTATCACAGCACCTCCCCGTCCATCTTTCCTGTTGGCTTCTGTGAAATTAACAACATCGAGCTCACCCCTCCGAAAGGTACCGAGCCTCTGAAGTGTACCCAGGCCTGTTTGTGCAGAGGATGACAGGAGCCAGGCTCTGTTTGGATACTCATGATGTCATCACTCTGCTCTCCAGGGTACACTAAACTACCATTTAAATGGTTTGACTACCTCAGAGAAACGGGATCGGTAGCTGCTCCTGTCAAACTCTTTAACAAGGTAGGACGCTGAGGCTTCGTCTTGTGTTCTGGAAGTTGTTTTTATTAATGGGACATGCTTATTTAGGATTTATCAGTACTCCCTGAAGGATAAGTAACCTACATTTACTCTTTATTCTGTTATACTAACAAAATCAGTGTTGTATAAAGCAGGGGTTCTCAAACCATTTGGGTCTGGGGACCCCTTTAAAAAGGTGAAAAAAAATTCCAGGGACCCCCTCGAAAACCCCTTAAATCTTAAAATCAAAACCAAATAAACAATTTAGTGACATTTTTTTGAGGACCCCCGAGATTACCTGTCGCAGACCTCTATTTGAGAACCACTGGTATAAAGTGCCTGAAAGTGATACTTAAATAAAAGTACAAGTACCTTTATCATAAAATTACTTTGGTAAAAGTTAAAGTTTTCTCTAAGAATATTACTTGAGTAAAAGTCTTCAAGTTTCTGATTTAAAGGGGACCTATTATGCAAAATTCACTTTTCAAAGTTTTTTTTTTTCAACTTTGGGTATGTACTTCTTAAAAAATCAGTCCTAGGACCAAAAAAAAAAAGCACCCAGGGGCATATTTACTGTAAGTAAATGTATTTTTAATGTATATTAACGACAAGTTTTATACTACCTACATTTTGTGATGTCACAAGCCGTACGACAACCCACCGCAAACTGCGTTCAGCCCCTTACCTAGCAACCCCCGGGTGAGGCTCCTCCTCCTCAGTATAAAAAGCCGCCATGGTGGTGTTGTGCAATGCACAGCTCATTTCACAACAAGCCTCCAATAGGGCAATGGGTAGAAAAGAAAGAAGCTGCGACCACGACTCTACCTCTGGGTCTGCCTCTGGGTCTCATATGGTTGTACAACGGAGCTTCTGCTATTATTAGCCATGCTAACGTAAACGCTGGCTTTGGAGGGCGGAGTTAATGTCAACAGATTTWTGGAGGGCGGAGTTAATGTCAACAGATTTTTGGAGGGCTTTACCAACAGAGCTCATTAACATAAACAGCTCTTCTGAATGGAAGTCAGAGCAGGCAGAACTAGAAAATGGGAAATTTTGTTATCTGAGAATTATTTTGTGCATTAAATTGAATGAAGATGGTCTGGATAGCCCACAGACATACTATAAACATTTCTAGGACCCATAATTGGTCTCTTTTAAGTATCAAAAGTAGGTTTCTGATACAAAATGTTCTTAAGTAAAAAAAAGTAAAAGTACTGAATGGTTATATTTTCCAAAATACATTCATTGGGAGCTGACCTCTTCAAAAACTGTGACCCGTCACATCGAAATGAGGATCAAGTCCAAAACTGGAATGTGGAGAAACAGGCAGATATAGGGTTTGATTTAAATGTGCAAAAAGTGCATTTTGTCAAAATATAATGAATTAATGCCTTATCAATGTATCATATGAATGAACTGTCTGAAATATAATCACAAAAAAATTTTTTTGAAGCATTTTTTTGAGCATTCGCAACAAAAAAACCCTGATTTTGAGGAAAAACGCATTCAAATTTAGAATTTTTCTCTGTGAGCTAGAAATGTTTTTGTTTCTTTTCAACTGGGAAATCTTCATATAAAAATAATATTTGAGGTTTCCTCTTTATATTGACATAAAAATTTACTCAATAAATTTACATAAAATTAGGATTCAGACCTAATTTTATGTAACCAACAAGACAAATTAAGTCATATCTCTGGATAAGTTTGTGATATCAGAATGACCCAGGAATCTGAAAATGTAGTTTGGTCATTTTGACCAAATTAGACCTAATCCTCATTTCAATTTTTTTATAATGGGATGCAGCATTGATGGATCGTGTACAAACTAAATACAGTATCAGAATACGATATATTTATACTTCTCATCCAACCACAATTAAATTCACTTGATCCAGGAGACACAATTTTTCAGGATAGTATATTTTTAACATCAATTAGCCAAAAATGAAATGGGAGAAACGATTTTCTTCTTACCTTTTTTAAAAAATGTAAGGAGTAGAAGTGAAAAGTACACTGAAAAATAATTACTTAATTAAAGTACAGATAACCAAAACGTCTACTTAAGTACAGTAACAAAGAATTTGTACTTAGTTACTTTACAACTGTGCATGAAATAAGGAACTAGTTTTATCGCTCTGTCTTCCAGGAGGTTCCCAATCATGGTTTCAGGATAGGCATGAAGCTGGAGGCGGTTGATCTGATGGAGCCACGGCTAGTCTGTGTCGCCACAGTAACCAGGATCGTGCATCGGCTCCTAAGGATCCACTTTGACGGCTGGGAGGATGAGTATGACCAGTGGGTGGATTGTGAGTCACCTGACCTCTACCCAGTGGGCTGGTGTCAGCTGACGGGCTACCAGCTGCAGCCTCCAGCCTCTCAGAGTAAGAACACCATGACTGCACACATTTATTTATACCCACATGCGCCCACTTGGTTTGTTGGTGTGTGGAAGCTACAAATAACAATCCTGTTCTCTATAGAGGACTGAAATTAAAAGCGGAAATCTATAAATGGCCCAGTAAACTAATAAATATGCTGAAAATGCACCAGTTAATTTAAAAAGAGAACTTTACCTCATGTTTCATAATTTAATTGACCTTCATATTTATTTTTCCATCTTATTTTCAACAAATTGAATATTTTAGTACATAATTTACATTTTACGCTTTTAAAGGGCTAGTGTTGCATGTTTCTCAGGCATATACACTGCTCAAAAAATAAAGGGAACACTTAAACAACGCATGCTAAGTCCAAGTAAATCAAACTTTTGTGAAGCACATTCAACTCTGTACAGAACAAAGTACTCAATGTGAATATTTCATTGATTAAGATCGGGAGATGGCGTGTGTTGTTTAAGTGTTCCTTTTATTTTTTTGAGCAGTGTAGTTCAATTCTATACCATTATAAAGTAACTAAGTCAACTTCAGTTGTTAATAACCTCTTGAGCCCCATGCCAAAACAGCATTTCCCGTTTTCTATTTAACTTCTGTTAACCTAAGATCTGTCAGTTGAACCTGGACATGTTTCGTATCAATAGAAAGCTAGGAATCTTAGCTAAAAGTTCATAAAAACTATAGTTACATTCACAAACACAGTTCAAACATCAAGCAATTAAATCAGAAAGTACACAAACTGTACAAAATGGGATTGTTGCAAATCTGTAAATACATTCAAGTAAAACTGTAAAGGAAAAAATAGTTTGTATACCATCATCATTTGTAAATACGTCAACATATTTCAGAACCGAGGTGTACCACAATACCATCATACCACCCAAACCTACTCTGTATGGATTTTAAGGTGTGTCTCCTGTTTCATGCTCAGTTTAACATGTCTAACTGTGTCTCCTCTGTTTGTCCTCAGTTCAAGGTGTCTAACTGTGTCTCCTGACTTGATGTTATTTGTTTTCTGGTTTCAGGTAACAGAGACATGTCCCAGTCTGTGCCCAAGCAGAAGAAGAAGACTCCTCAGTACAAAGGCCAAAAGAAAAGTCAGTAGTCCTTCTTCTTCATCACTTTGCCTCTTCTTCCTCCTTTTTGTCCCTTTCTTCTGCTTTGTCACACCTGCTTTATTTCAAGTGGAGGAAAACTGGTGTGACAGGCAGAATAACACCAGTTCACTGTGATTGTGGACTTGTTTTGTAAAAACAGACCCTGGGGAAAAGCTGATCATCTATTTGTGCAGCTGCTTGTGTTTTCTCAGCATCACTCTGCATGTGATCAAACACTTCCTGTGGTGAATTTCTACAACGCTCTCCTTTAAAAACCCTGAAGCAGACCAATCAAATCCTGACAGGTGCTGGTTGTATAAAACCCAGAGCTTCTATTAAACACCTGTCGCCATCTACTGGTTGATCTGTGGAACTAAAAGGAGGACAGGAAGTGACTGAGCTGGAGTTATCACTTCATTAATCCCTTCAATTCTGTCAGTGGTGGGCAGCGCTAATTTAAAAATTAGTTCCACTAGCCCTAAAACACTAACTCAAATATTTAGGTCCCTTAATTCTAAAGCACTAATGCACTGAAAGTTTTAGCAAAAGCTAATTCTAAAGCACTAATGCACTGAAAGTTTTAGCAAAAGCTAATTCTAAAGCACTACTGCACTGAAAGTTTTAGCAAAAGCTAATTCTAAAGCACTAAAAAAACCCAGTCAACCCATGAACATTCTTCAACAGACAATATGAGTCACGTATTACCATGTAGCTCTCTTTAGACATATCATTGACATTCCACAGCTGTATTTGGGTTCATATATTGTCACCAGGGGCCTCATGTACAAAGACTTGCGTGGATTTCTTACTGAAACCTGACATACGGTCAAATCCAGAAAACTGCGTACGCACAAAAAAATCCAGATGTATCAAACTGTGCATACGCCGGAATCCACGCACAGTGCTTTTGTACATCACAATTAACGTGGAACTGAGCGCAGGTGAGACACCTCCCCTGACACGCCTTCATTAACATATGTTAAACAGATGCAAATTACTTCCTGCGTGTGTGAAGGACACGTTTGAGTGATCCCTGCGCGATCAGAAATGATTTCTAATGTCATAAAAATAATGAATTAAATATAATGTGTGAGAAAAAATCCTAAGTAAAAATAGGAATAAAATATGTTTATCACACAAAGAACGAGTGATTATGTGTCGCACGCTGCTGTGTTGCGCAACCGGCTCATCCATCCATTCTGAGTCAGAAAATATTAACTTTGCGCACGAGTTTATTACCATAATTACTGTAAACACAGAGGAAATTAAATGTTTGGTAGAACATATATCTTAGTTTATTTCATAGTTGATATGAAGAAACGAGTCTCTGCGCCTCAGTAGAGTTTTCATGACGTGACGTGATGTTGGAGAGTCTCCACAAAGGCTGCACGTAGTCTGTCTATCTGTCAAGCTTTGTCTCTCCTACTTATAGTATTTTCACAAGTTGTAAAGTGTACTTCCACRTGTCATTTTGGAGAAATCTACAGCAACGTTTGAAACCCCTCCACTGCCGGCGAGGGTGTGCGAGCTCCAGAGCGCGACCATAACTCAGCCTTTAGAATCATATGGATGATACGATTCCATTGGTCATGACTCTGCTTTAGGTGGACTGGACTGATACAGTCCTGATGGGTCTGCCAGCTCCCTCTGGAAAGCTCCTGTGGAGCCCCAGTTCAATCGCTGCTGCTGCACGTGCACGTGTGGCGCACGCGGCTCGCTGCGTCACGCTCCCAGAGCGCAGCAGTGCCAAACTAAAAAATGATTTTTCCTCAAAACGGCTGATGAGCCACTCATCATCGGAAATTTATATCTGTTCATAAATAAAAGCTCTGCGTGTTACACTATTTAATATATCCTCCAGTCAGGCTGAATCTGTTCCTGTTAAATGTATTTTTGGCACAACTTTGCACGTCCTTTATTTAACTGCATCCATGTGGATGTAGTAATTGTTAATCATGTGGATGTAATAATTGTTAATCATGTGTGTCTGCTGTGAACAATAATCATTTTGACATCATGAACAGTTTCTCAGAATCACCTCTAAGTGTCGCCAATGGAACCAAAGCCACAGTAACGTGTGACACCAGCCCTGGAGTTGGCGTGGGGCTGCACACATTTCCACGTTCAGTTGGGTTTTGATACATCCGGAGATTTGCGTGGATAATGACGTATGCAAGGTTTTTGTGTGTTGATACAAGAGGCCCCTGGTGGAAAAGTGACACACATTTGGACAAAATGTGTGACAGCTCAGCTGTTAACATTAATGTTGATCAATAACATTTATAGACCTCAGTTAGTGCTTCTAGATTTAGTCTATCAAGTGCTAATCCACTAATAAATTTTAAAATTAGCAAAAGCCCTAAAGCACTAATCAGGAAATTAGTTCCCCTATTAGTGCTTTAGTGCTTTAGGGGAACTGTGCCCACCACTGAATTCTGTCATTTAAGTAATGTTCATGAATCCTTTTCTTGGTCTTTCAGAATCATTTTAACATTTATTTTCATTAGTTTTTACTGTAGTTAATCAGTCAAAGCCATTATTCAATGTTTTGTCCCCCCAAAAACTGAAGAAAAACAAAAATTAAAACATAAGAAGTAGGATTTATTTTAGTTCCTCAAAATGAAAGTTAACTGTGAGTGGCAAAAGTATTCATCACACCTGTGGGTTTTTATCTTTTTAGTGTGAACAACATGAAAATTTTTCAATATTTTATTATTAGCCAAATAATAAGACAAAACAAACAAACAAAAAAAAACTGATCAGTATTCTGTTCCAGATTGGTACTTTGTGTCACTACCTCCTGCACCAGTTCCAGCCTCAGGTCTTTTCAGGTCTGTCTCCTTGATCCTGGTTAGGGCTGGGCGGTATGTCCTCAAATTCATATCACAGAATAAACTGAATCCCTTCAGAGTAACTGTATAAATCGCAGTAGAAAATTATCATAAAAAGCAAAGATAATGTAATTTTTAGAGCATTTATTTAGCAGAAAACTGTAATTATAATCTAGCTCATTATTTTTGCTGTAGTATAATGTTTTATATATTGTAAAACGGTTTCAACAACAAAAACATTTCTCAAATTTTCAACATCAAAATAAAGTGGATGTTATAACCAGTACTTCAAGTAAAATTAGTCATTTAGACATAAAAACATTCTAAGTGGTCTAAAATATTACAGTGTGACAGGATCTTAAGCTGCACATTGTCCTGTCATAAAACTATTTCTGATAACTGGAATGCAAGTGTGGTGAAGCCAAATAAATGTAACATCTGTCTGCCATACATGAGCTTCTGCCTGCTGAACGTAGCTGCTGCTCTCAGAGCAGAACTGTTACATTAGCAAGATGGATTTATGACTGAACAAATGTCCACATCTTTTTTCATCACCTCTGTGGGTAACAATACAGAAAAAACAAGTTTTGCTCTGACAACTTGGGTGTGAAAAAACTGTGATTGTTAAGGCTTTGCTCTGCGTGAAATGTAGCGAGAGGGAGGGAATGATCCTGCGACACGATGTAACTTTTCTACAGCAGGAGGGGAAATTGAGGATTTATTCTCTCTATTCATGTTTTAAAACACTACATTTTTTCATTTATTTTCAGAATATTTTGAACTCCTTCTGCTCAGTTGTCTCTGCACTCATAGCCATGTTGATACAGGTGTGATGATGTAACTGACCACAGGACGATAGAGGGTCCATTTCTACCATAGACCAACTTCATATTGTTTTTACTGTCTTTCACATATACAGCGCAATCCTAATCCTGGTCCATCAGACCTCAGGAGTTCAGAGGTCTGATGGACCAGTTTCATGGAGACAGACCTGAATGGAGTTCAGTCACCTGTTGGAAGGTGGACCTCAGTCCCAGTCTCAAATCTCTGGTTTGTATTTGGCTCCATCTTTCCTTCAACTCTGCCCAGATTCTCTGCTGATTTTTAAAAATCATGCTCACATCATGATGCTGCCACCTCCGTGCTTCACTGTAGGTTTGGTGTTCTCATTATGATGAGAGGTAGGAATGTGCGATATGGCAAAAAATTCATATCACGGTATATATTATGATGAGTGGCGGTAACGATATATATCACGATATAAAACTTATAATAGAAAACAAATAAATCTCATTAATTGAGTGGAATAAATATGTACAGGTAAAAAAATTTAGACCTTAAAATCTCCTTTTTCAAGGAACACTTTAAAGTCTCCCATAAAAACCTAAATTTAAGGGAGACCTACCTGGTTAAATCAAAGATTTTATATATAAATCTCATTAATTGAGTGGAATAAATATGTATAGGTAAAAAAATTTCGACCTTTAAATCTCCTTTTTTAAGGGACACTTTAAAGTCTCCCATAAAAATCTAAATTTAAGGGAGATCTACCTGGTTAAATCAAATATATATATATAGGTAAAAAAATTTCGACCTTTAAATCTCCTTTTTTAAGGGACAC